TTAGTTCAAAACATTGAAAAAATAATTAACCCACTAACCCTCATACTGTTTTCTGTTCCCAGAATTGACAGTCATACACGGGAAAGTCTTTCCAGTTCTCTTCAGCAATCATATCTCTTCCTATATTTGTATCTGGTTTGGAATTCAGTGCAGGAGGGGCAAAGTAGCCAAAGCTAACACTATATTGCAAATGTCATCTTCATACAAACCCTCATTCACAGCCATCTCAAGAGAACTGCAATACTATCTAATTTGGACTTTACAGTGCCAAACTGTAATGGAAGGCTACTTTGCAATGAAGATTGTGTCAGCAGGAAGTCTCACCAAAACTATATACAAGTGGAGTTTGCTTTCAAATAATAATACTGCTTGATTGTTGTCTGCTGCAGAAGAAATCAGGAAGAGCTAGGCAGGATTCCTCACATCCCTGTGCCTTCCAACTGCAGTGCATCTAGTATGGTGGTGGGATGGACCACAGGGCTGACAGGGAGCTCAGATGGTCATACAGTTCCTCTCTTCCTGTCCAAAGACAGGCTCAGGAATGCCTAAACCACAGATGCCTATCTTGAAATTCTTCATAATAGATTCAAAAATGAAGTGTTAGAAAGGAGTGATGGGCCAGCTGCCAGACCCTCACTGGTACTAATTTGGAAGCTTGCATGTTTCCTCACAACATGCAGCTAAAACTCACAGGGTATGGACTAAATGTTGACTGAGAGCCTACCCTCTGACAAGAACGGAGAGACCAGGGTGCACAACACTGCAAGGAGAGTGACACTGCACTTGGAATTAGTTCACAGCCCTACTGTGACTGAATGTATAGCTTTATCCAGTCTCATTCAGCATGTTACCATAACTTAAACAGCCAGCTGAGAAGAGCCAAGCACTTACTGAACCTTGCACAGTGTAGCACACTTTCTTATATGCTGTTCTGGCTTTTGGGCTTTTCATGGAATTTGTATCACAAATTCAGTGCTTACTCATCTTAGTGGATTCTAAATATAGAAAAAGGCTGCTAACTTGATTCCCAGTATCTGGTACTACTTTCTTTCCTGTTATATTCTCACAGTATTCATCTCGTACACGGCGCTTCATTTGTTTTGTTCCCTTATACAGTCCTATCACCATGCATTATTACTTAATCACCCACAGCCCTACAGCCCAGCTGTTTGTCAGCACAAACTCTCACTTAACAGCAAACCATTCCTCTGCTGTCATTGCATTGGGATGTTATGCTGTCATCTCTCTACTTAAGAATAAAACAGGTTTTCCTTCCTTCTCTTCACAGTTCTCCTGATGTTGCATCAAAAGTTATATTCTGCTCATGTCACACCAAGTTATCCAGTCTGTACTTACAAAAATCCCCACCTAAACAGCTTTGCATGAAACTAGTAATATTGTCTCCTGCCTCTCTGGCCTGCATTTCCCCCTTTGCAGAAGGGTGCAGTGCAGCAATCTTCCTGAAATAGGACTTAGAGGGTTAATGTCATGGACAAGCCTGGTGTGCCAGCTCTGCCTGGACAAAAGGGACAAAACCCAAAAAAGTTGATTCTGGTTCTGATTTTGCTACTGAGAAACCAGGTAATTATCAGAATGTGCTGTTATGGCCAAAACTAAATTAGGATTAAAAAACAAACAAACAAAAAAAACCCCAAAAACCCACCAAACACAAACAAACAAAAAAACCCCAAACTGAAACAACAACAACAAAAACTCACAGAAAGAAAGCAAGGAACCAACCAAACCAAAAGCAATACCAAAACCAAAAAAGATGACAAGTTAAAAAGAAGAGAAAAGAAGCGAGAGACTGGAAGGTAAAGCAACTACATGCTTCAGGGCAGGAGAGAACTCACAGCAATGGGAGGCAAACACTTGTTCATTTTGATGATACTTCTGGTACTGACCATTACTAGAGAGAGGATACAAGCCTAAATGGACCTCAGCTCTGACCCAGAATGGTAGTTCCTGTGTCTTAACACAACCACTGACAGATGAATGCAGGGAAGTATTCATTTTTACCTAAGGAATTAAAGTACACACAGCAAGATTACTCACTAAACCGTTACCAGGAGGTGATCACTATAATGGAGAATTTACAAGAACAAGAAGGCAAACAACATCAGCCCTAAAGAATATGTATGGCCTGCCACACTACCTGGTAACAAAATCTTGACGAGAGGACAGCTGCTGAGTAAAGAAGTAACCAATGTGTGCAAGCATCAAGCTTTTATACAGGGCAAGAGAGAAAAATAATTTGTACCTTTTGAGACACAAAAGCCATAGCTAAATAGTACATTAAAAGCTCATCAGGAAATCTGTGGAATCATTATACACATTAGATGTGTGTTCTTGCTTCAGGCACATCAATGGGAATTTTGCTACAAGATGAAACTTTTTAATGTTCTGCCATTTAATGGCTGAAAGAAAAATGTTCATTTAATTTACTCGTTCTCTATATGAAAAAAATCCTAAGCACAGCAGCCCGTATTCTCAGCTACATCAGAAAAAAAAACTCACATGGTACAGGTCCTAAGAGTAAAAGTAATTTCTGTGTTCAGCTAATAATAGACCACTCTGAACCAAGCCAGAGGTGGATGCAAATTTTGACAGAGGCCATCAAGCACAAAATTTCAGCAGAAAGCAGTAACTGGCCCTCCCATACTCTCCAAAAATCAGAATGGAGATTGGCATGTGATCTGCTAAATCTCTCTCTCCACAGATGATCTCTGTACATTAAGAGATCCTGCTTTAGTTGAGTTCAAGATCAGAATGTGCTTTGAAGGCAGAATAATTGGCCACAACAGACTTCTCTTCTGATGATGTTATAAATTCCGTTAAATAAACTGATAGTTAAATATCATATTTATAGTATTTGCATATGACTGCACTTGGCATTACTGGAGATTTTTTACCAACAAATTAGGCAGACATGCCAATAGTGATGACAGCTGTAACTAGAAAAGGGAAATGGACTAAATGATTTCTTAAGGTCTCTTCTATCACTAATATATCCTGTTCTGTGAACTTCTTGAAACCACTCCATTCTGTTCCCACTGGAGTTGTATTTTTCATGTCTTAGTGCTTGGATAATAACAAATACATTCTAGTATTAACTTAATTAGCTAAATTTGTTCCAAGTTACTCCAAGCACCCTGTGGTAAATGAACACACTTCTAGGCTTTGAGTGTGCAAGAAATTTGCCACATAAACAACTTGACCAATTTGCTACATCAGTATTTACTATTATTCAGTGAGCAGGAGCCAGAGGTTGTGGTTTCAGATGTATGCTTACAACCCTCAGGGCAATGGGATTACAGCAAAGAAAAGAACTTGATGCAGGGAATTATGTGCTTTTGAACTTTTACTGAATTTCTGTACACAGTAACAGGGATGATACCGTAAAACAAACCATTGTTCTGAACATTATGTTAAAAGATTTTGTTATAACAGGTTGGAGAGATGGGCAGACAAGAACTGTCTGAAATTCAACAAAGGCAAATTCAAGGTCCTGCATCTGGGGAAGAATAACCCCAGGCACCAGTACAGGCTGGGGGCTGACCTGCTGGAAAGCAGCTCTGCAGAGAAGGACCTGGGGTCCTGATGGACAGCAAGCTGTCCATGAGCCAGCAGTGTGTCCTTGTGGCCAAGAAGGCTGATGGTATTCTGGGATACATTAGGAAGAGCATTGACAGCAGGTTGAGGGAGGTGATCCTGTCTCTCTACTCAGCTCTGGTGAGGCCTCACCTGCAGTGCTGTGTCCAGTTCTGGGCTCCTCAGAGCAAGAGACATGGAGCTTCTGGAGCAGGTCCAGTGGAGGGCGACAAAGATGATTAAGAGACTGGAACATCTCTCTTACAAGGAAAGGCTGAGGGAGCTGGGCCTGCTCAGCTTCAAGAAGAAAAAACTGAGAGGAGATGTCATCAATGCCTGTAAGTATCTGAAGGAGGGCTGCCAAGGAGTCAGGCTTTTCTCAGTGGTACGAATCAATAAGGCAAGAGGCAGTGGGCAGAAAGTGATGCGCAGGAAGTTCTGTCTGAATATGAGGACACAATCCTGTACCATGTGCTCTAGGATGACCCTGCTTGAGGAGGGAGGTTGGACCAGATGACTCACTGTGGTCCCTTCCAGCCTCACCCATTTTGTTATTCTGTGATATATTATGGCACCCAAAACTGCACACAGGAGTTGAGGCAAGGCTGCACCAGTGCAGAGCAGGACAGTCACTTCCCTCAACCAGCTGGCGATGCTTTGCCTGATGCCCCCCAGGACATGGTCGGCTGTCCTGGCTGGCAGGGCGTTGCTGACTCATATTCAGCTTGGCAACCAGGACCCCCAGGCCCCTTTCTGTGGCACTCCTTTCCAGCATCTCATTCCCCAGTCTGTATGAACATATGGGGTTGCCCCATCCCAAGTGCAGAATCCAGCACTTGCCCTTGTTATACTTGATACAGTTGGTGACTGCCCAGCCCTGTAATTTGTCAAGATTTCTGCCTTCAAGGCAATCAACAGGTCCTCCCAATTTAATGTCATCAACAAACTTGTTTAGAATACCTTCCAGTCTTACATCCGAGTAATTTATGAAGATGCTGAAGAGCACAGGGCCTAAGATGGAGCCCTGTGGAACTCTGCTAGTGGCAGGTTGCCAGTCTGATGTTACTCCATTTACTGTAAGCCTTTGTGCCTGGCCCCTGAGCCAGTTGCTTACCCATTGCATGACAGGTTTATCCAGTTGTGTGTTGGACATTTTGTCCAGAAGGATACTGTAAAAGACAATATCAAAAGCTTTACTGAAATCTAAACAGGTTACATCAGCCGTCTTCCCTTTTTCTAATAGGTGGGTAACAACATTGTAAAAGGAAATTAATTTTTTAAGCAGGACTTTCCCCTCATGAGCCTGTGCTGACTGTGACCAATGTTTTTCAATAACTCCCAGAATAATCTTATCCCAGATTTTACCAAAACAAACATCCTTCCTCCTTGCTTCCTCTTCTCTATTTCAGGCAGCACTAAAGTACCTTGAACACTGAATCACTTGGTCTGCTACGTCGACAGCAAAGATTTTCTATCCTCAGACTGAGTATAATTGCAGAGGTTTTAAGTCTGGCCCCACAGCAAACAAGCACGCTGATGTTCGCTACATGATCTAAGCACAGGATGTATTTGCTCCTGCTGAGCATACCCATCTCAGGAGTTTAAACTTATTAAGGAGACATTTTTGCACACTCTTCTGCATTGGGGAAGGGTAAGTTTATTGTTATGTTGAAATTGTTTGATTATTTTGATCTGGAATTTAAAACCTCTGAAATAATTCACATTTAAATGAAGGTCTAAATATTCGCAATATAGTTTCTTCCCATATAGATGACCAACTTAACGTAATGAATTAGATATTAAAGATCTCTTGCTGGTCTTATATTCTCCAGGGGGAATTTTATTTAATGGAAACATCAAAAGAATCTTCATGGGATATCTGAACTGGTTTTCCTGGAAAGTTGACTAAAAAATACCTTATTTGTGATACACTAAAGAAGCAGTAAAGATGATGATGCATATATTGGCAGAAGAGAGGAGCAACCAGTGGAAAACTTTCTTTCCAAGACTTGTGGTTTCCATGCTGAAAATACTGGCACTCTGTCTATGCATTCAATTTCTTCTCAGAACACGTGAACCAGCAACAGGCAGGAGAATATATTTGTCACTCCTCAGTTGAGCGCAGATACTCTTTGCTTCTTTTTTTCCTTCTCCTGAAGCACAGAGACATTTAAAGTCCAGAGATTAGTAGTCCTCATTCAGCTGATTTGGTTACAGAAAGCCCAAGATGAAATACAGGAGGTGGCAGACAAAGAATAAGTACTCAGGTCTGGTTTACCACAGTAAAGGTAAGATTACTTAATTGTGCATTATGTACCCTTCCTGCTGTTTCCTCTTTGACATCCTCCCAAAGCAATCATATTTACAAATAAAAGATTGAGACCCCTTCCCACTTCGATGTTATCGTTTACCTGGATTGAGGGGATGAGAAAATCCAGCTAGGGCACCTCCCTCATCACATAATTAAATGACAGCCTTCAGACAAAGCAGCATACTGCAAAGTGATACATTCTCCTAAATGCTCCAGTGCAGAATAAGCCTGCCCACCCCTGCTGAGCCATTATAGATGGCAGGTAACAGCTAACACAGTTCTGCATTGACTTTTGGGGATCCACACAAAAGCAGCTGAGGGACACAGAAAGGACGCTTTAGACACTGTTGCTTCCACACAACACACCTACCTGTGGCTTAGAAACAAATAGACTGAAGTTTACCAAATACTGACCTTTTCTCCTGCTTTCCCATCCATGGAATTTTGGTCAGTGTCTGTAAATATAAGAAAAGTTTGCCTCAAATAAATGCCTCTATAGTTGAAAAGCAATAATAATTTATGTCATCCTGAGCCAAAGTCAGCCATGCACACCAGTATTTTCTTACGAGATTAAGAGTACTTGGCATAGAGAACTGAGCAGACTACTGCAATGCCAGGGAAAAAGGTGGATGTACGTCCTCTAACCTTAGAAAATACCTTAGTGAAGACCAGTACATCTGGCTCGAGCTTTATTTAAGCAGCTTTGTATTATTTGTATTATTTTCTGTCAAATCATCAGCTCCTCTAAATGGCTCTGACCTGCTACTCCTTGTGCTTAAAGCATTTTACAACTAAACTAGTAAGTTCATTCTTGCTACAAGCTTGTTCCATAAAATACATTTTTTTAAATGCCATAAAGACATTAAGATAAATAACAGTGGTCAAATTTAGCAAGTGCTAAATTGGCATGCATTTTTCCGTTCCAATGACATGTCTTTCAGCTTTCTAGTTTTATTTAATCACCCAAGCTGAAGCTGTACATACCAGCTGCCTATTAAGGACTGATAATTTCACCTAATCTTAGTGACAAAATTTTGTTGGAAGTGTTCTGTTATTTCTGAGAACACGACTAGAGAATACATTTCTTTGCTGAAGTTAAAAAATGCTAGCAACTCATCCATGAGGAACTTTAAAGACCCCCTTAAAGTGGGTAGAAAATTAGCATGTTGTGGGGAGAAGGGCATCAGAAGAGAGGGCAAATCACAAAAAAACAACTGTGACTGACTGTGTCAGTCTGTTTTCCAGTCCTGATAACTCACAGTAATGAGGCAAGAATTTCTCACATCCTCACATCTGCTGCTGAAGAGCTTAAGGAAGCTGTAGGCACAGCTATTAGACTGATACTCCAGCAGGGAAAGTAACCTTCCCCACTTCAGTCAGTCTCAATAGGTTCTTCTTCCACTCTGGGAGACAGGTAATGCTCTCTTCACACAGAAGGTGGACAACAAAAAGTACAGGAAATAAATACATCTGATAAAATTAAAGCTTTTCTTGATACACACCAGTTCTTCCATGATACTTTTTCTACTTTTTATGAATCCTAACTGCAAATTCAGAAAAAGCAAAAGGTGGCTGTTGGTTTGGAACAGCCCAGTGCTTGTAATGCATATATGAATGTTTAACTGAAAGTGCAGAGATAGTATCACATAATTCCCTGTGTCTCTTCAGGTCTGTTTATTTCTGCAAAATCAATGCTCTGATCCTGTGTAAGAAAATATCACATGTCATTGTAATTAAAAACTATGTAGAAATATAGATGTAAAAAAGAAAATAATCAAAGTCCAGTGGAAACTAATCCTGGAAGCTATTGGCATTTGAAGTTCAATTAAGCAACTCTAATTACTTGTTGAGTTTCATTAAATAGTCATAATTGTAAATTTCGGAAGTACAGTATTTGTTACATTTGAAGATACATATACAAACTGCTCTATTGTGGTAACTGAATCTGTAAAAACTGATTTTTCTTGATAGTGATAAGCATACACATTTCCTTCATTAGTCACCTTAAACACTTCAACAGCAATACAAACAGATCGTTCATCCCAGGTCCACCCTTGAAATCCACACACTTTGCAACACAGTGGTCTTTCAATTAATTGTCATTTCCTTGCCTTATGTACTCAGAGTCTGAATTAATCCCTGCATAAGACTATTGCACTACATCCTGTTTGTGAGGTATCCACACCATGAAACACAGCTGTTTAATGGTGTCCTACAAGATTTGGATTTGTGGATTTCTGTCTGCATCCTAACTACTTGCTAAACACTGCTTACAAATACAGTTTTGTTTCCATAGCACAGAAATTCCTTACTAGATCACATCACCCAGATAAATGATTAATTGTAAGTTACAGTTAATTGAGAGTTTATATGTTTTGATTCCTTCAGTTGCATCTGATTAGAAATATGTTTTGGTGCTATTTAACAACCAATTTATTATGTACAGAGCTGGTGAAGGGTCTAAAGCAAAAATCCTATGAGAAGCAGCTGGGGGAGCTGGGGTTGTTTGGCCTGAAGAAAGGAGGCTCATGAAGACCTTATTGCTGTCTACAGCTACCTGAAAGGAGGTTGGGTCCAGGTGGTGGTGTCAGCCTCTTCTCCCAGATAAAAGCGACAAGAGGAAATGGCCTCAAGTTGTGCCAGAGGAGACTTAGATTAGATATTAAAAAAATTTCTTCACCAAAAGTGCTGCCAGTCATTGGAACGGGCTGCCCAGGGAACTATTTGAGTCACCATACTTGGAGGTTTTTAAAATACCTGTAAATGTGGCACTTGGTGACACGGTTTAGTGGTGGACTAGGTTAATGGTTAGACTCAATGTTCTAAATGATTCTATGAATCATAAAATAGGAATAATTATTACTTGTTTTCAGTGTAAGGAAAGCAGTTAAGAGCACTACTAATTAAATTGCCAATAAACAGTTCCCTTTCCCCACAACAACCATTTGATGAGGTCAGAAAATGACACAGATTACAGTTCAATTATATTAATAGGAAGCATGAAGAAAACTGTCAAAAGCTCCATTACTAAGTGATTGTTCCGTTCTCTTTCCTTTCCCATCATCTTTACTCAATAACATAGTCCAGTTGCTTTAAAATCTGTCAGTTGTTATTTATTCTATGCCCAAAACAAAACAGAATACACACTGAATAAAAACAACTCTGTTTATCATAATCTACCTTTCATTATAGTCCTTTCACACTTGTTTTGAGAGTATGTGTTGAATTCTCTAGTAACAAATATCAAGTCTTAGATTTTTTCTTTCAAACATGTAAAACCAGTTAGTGAAAATGTACTCAGGAGCTTGTAATAACTTTTTTTCTTGTCTACTTGGATTTCAGCAAAGAGTCACTGATACAAAAATGTAGATGTTCAGTGTTTTGTCTAAGCCATGGGAGGGAATTTGTGAGTAGGCTGATAAAAGCAACAAAAACAAAATTCTTTTTACTTCTTTTTCAAGGCTGTGCAAGGCTGTGTTGGATGGACACACATAAAAAATAGCCTTCTTTTCAGGGAAACTGCCTAGAATTCCATCGAAGTTTGAAGAGCAGTGACTGCCTACCTGCTCACAACCCACACCTTACTCTTCACACACACATCATGTTATCTGGGCACACCTTCAGGATCACTCTCTCTGAACAGAGTTTCGGGGGAAAATATGATTCAGGGCAGCATAGGATAACTTGCACTTACTTGGAAAATAGCTGGCTTGGGCTGAACCTGATGTTTTCTCACTGTGTGGAGGAATCTAAGAAGGAAAACCTGAATGAAACAAAAAGCATTTTTTTTCTTTTCTTAGGTGCAGACCATGTTTTTCTACAAGGAATCTATTTCGGAAATCTGGGAAGATTCCCATACACTGAATATACTGATGCATGTTTCTTATGGATGGTATATAGGAGATTGTGCAATGAGCTCCGTTGAAATACATACAGACTACAGATACAGAAATGACTTTGCAGTTAATGTCAGCCTGATCGCCAGGGTCTTGTAATAAGCTTGACAGTTCATATATCTGACAACAGCAGCACAACTGACTCATCAGTCACAACAGTACTCCTTCTTATTTATTGTCCTCTCTCAAGTCTGGAGCACGTGCAAAGGACACCAGATATTCTACCAAAATCAGATGCATTTTCAAGTACTTCGTAACTGAACCCACAGATAATGCACAGTCAGATTCTCTCATTCTACAACATGGATCAAAAATAAATAAAAAGAGGGAAGAAAACATCATTCTGTGAAAATAAAGTTCTTTGTAATTCAGTTTCTCTGTAACGTTCCTATCAAATGTAAGGTACCCAATATCACGTTAAATAAATTTAAAATTGTTTATAATACAGAGGAATAGCAGAGATCCTTCTTGAGTCTCCCTGAATAAAGAATTGTACACTATAGGCACTGAAGACTTTCTAGACTTTTGAAACATTACGTCTTTTGCTGAGGCACAAAAAAAGATGAGAGTAATAGTAACAGCACAGCATAATCCAGCTTGCTGAAGTCAGAGACTTCAGAGAGTCCATAGCAAAATTAAAAGTAGGGCTGCCTTGTTTCAAAGACATTTGGAGGAAAATATCTCTTTTTAAAGATGAATGCCTCAGCAATTATTTCTTAGAACAGCATTAGTATTATGATTGCTTGTGTAAGCTCTCTTGCAGTGCAGCGAAGTGAAACGAGTGCCTGTTGGTACAAGGACACTTCTACTGAGCACAAAGAGAGAGTGTGACAGACAAATCCATCATGCTTAGCCTGCAGATCAAAGTGCACAAAGCAAAGCATGCTGGAAAACTACCACACATGCATATAAAACAACAAATTAAAGCACAAAGGACATGCGTGAGTGGATGAAATGAGGAAAACACAGCATTAAAGATGATCTTTACTGCTTTCAGGAAAGAATCAAGACACAGCGATCAGACTACCATTTTCAAAGTGCGAAGTGATGTGGGGCATCCAGCTGGAGATACTGAAGCTGAGTTTTCAAAGTGCTGAAGATGGACAAATCAAAGGCAGACACAGAATGACAAAAACCAAACTAATCTATCTATTTGTGCTGAGAGCACAAAACCTAAGCAATTTTGAACTATTTCCAGTCGAGTCCCTATTTGCCAACAACTGAATTTTTGAAGTCCCATGCAGCATTAAGGAGTATATTAAATTATATGGAGTAAGGTAAGCAATCAGAAGCAGTCACCTTATTTTAATATGACAGCTCCTAAAAAAAGGATGATACAAATCTTATTCTTGCATAAAAGCACTGGAATTATTTTACTAGTTATGATGATGATGTTTATTCAGCAAAATAAATTATACAAATGAAAGTATGCTAGGGAAATAACAAGCACTGAATTAGTGTAGAAAAACCCTAACTATTTAAGAGCTTTTCTTATTGCTACTGTAGTCCTCTGTTGTCTAGACTTAAATTTGAACAATAACAAAAAGGTGGCCTAATATGAATACAAATTATATTTTATTTCATATAATATCATAGAAGTTTCTCTAGCGTAATTCCAATAATCCCACTGACCACAATGAGATCAGTTCTGTGATAAAACAGAAAATGAGGTGAATAGGACTGGTCCCTAAGCACACATAAACAAAATCTAAGAAAAGAGAACAAGAGAAAATAGAACAAAGTGCGTATTAATATATATTAGTACGCCGCTTATAATAATAAATTATAACAATGCCAAATAATTGATATTACTGACTGGGCACAAATTCAGTAAGTCTGTCCTCTTATCAAGAAAACAACGAAGGACAAAGTAATTCCAGTTTCCCTGCAGTGAGGGAGTCAAGGGAAAATATTTTTCTGTCTTCTAGTCTTGTTTAAGCTTTGTATTAGTTTTCTCTTCTTTGGCAAATTTCCTATCAGCTTTTACTGATAAATTGTTAGGGATCACATAGCTTTACTGTAGTCTATTAGATGCATGAAAAGGGCAAATGTGAAAAAGACATTGAGATCTTGATATATGCAGGCCGGCTGAATCCACAGACTAGCAAAACAGAAGGGCTGACAACTTACAGGCACTATACCGATAGCTATACACAGCCACAACTCTGAAACTGATTTGTCAGTCTGCAGCAGACCTGTAATGTTCATAAAACATTTACAGATAAGGGTGCATGCAGATAGTCCACCTAAGAACTTCCTGCTAGCACTATTGCTATTACCCAGAGGGCATCTTCAAACAAAAAATTTGTATTCAATTACACACAACAGTTTCACAAGAAAAATAGTGACCTGGCATTTTCAGATTTTAGATCTGCTACACCGGCCCATCCAAAGCATTTCCTCATTAGCAGAAAATACTAAACTTCAAAGAAGAGAAAAGTCATGCTTTACATGTAAATGCCATGATGACCTGGCAAAGTTGAAGAAGGCTTTGCTTTTTCTAATTAGTTTATAAGGGAAATGGGCTACCCAGGAAGGTGGTGGAGTCACCATCCCTGGAGGTGTTTAGGGAAAGACTGTACATGGTGCTTAGTGCCATGGTCTAGTTAACATGATGATGTTCAGTCAAAGGTTGAACTCGATGATCTCAGAGGTCTTTTTCAACCTAATTGATTCTGTGATTTTATATTTCTCAGCACAAACACTCAGAACTCCCATGTTCTGAGATTTTGTGCCTTGTTCTATCTAGCTTGAATTCTTTGCTGTTTCCTGCAGCTTGGGAACACCTGTGCATTGGATCTGAAAAGCTAAGTGACCAACCCACCACTGCAAGTCATTTTACCAGACAAATATCTCCCCATATGTATGTCCTTACCTTCTTGTAAAGGTGACTCAACAAGCCAGTACAAAGGATTATCAGCCCCAAATTATCTACATACTCTTTCACCACAAAGTAAGAAAATTTTAGATGGCTATTTTCAACATACAGCCTCTACCAAAAAAACTTACATTATTCATTGTCTTGTCCTTGGGATTGTGTAACAGTACAGTCAACTACTATTGACCTTCACATTCACAAAATTTGAGACTAGGCAAATCAGTGCTACAACAGACTATCCCTGATACTAAATTTTCGTTTTCAATGCAGAATGTACTTTTATTTTCAAGAAAACATGTGGTTGCAATCCAAAATAACAGCATTTAGGATTAATCAGGATCTCTTTAGACTGCAAATGATGCAACTGGAATACCGCACAGGCACATTAGATGGAAAGGAGTTCCCCAATATCAGCAGACCTTGTGAGGATGATACAGCAGGATTCCTGTGATGCGACTCTTGCTTTGACAAAGAACATTTGACTCCTTCCTGTTGTTGATTGCATGGGAATATGAGACACTACTGTCATGTTCATATCTTTATGGGGTCTCCAGATCTAGAGAACCTGGAGAACTGGCAACACCTCTGTGAAAATTCTGAAGTGAACCTACAATTGAATCTATTAGCTTGAAATACAGTACTCTGCTACACACTTGGTCCCAGATCCTCTATGTTCTTCAGCAGGTGAAAAGAGGACAAAAGTAGGGGGATGTGCACATGCATACACACCCACACTGATCCATCTGAATTTATGTATAAATAAAGGAAAAAATGCAAAGAGCTTCTTCAATACTTTCAGCTGCTGCCTTCTGCAGGCTTTTGAGCTTGCTGAGCTGACACTGAGCAGCAGTGTAAGGGTCACTTTCACGCAGTACTTTTGCCAGCATGGGACAAAATAAGCTGCTCACTTGTTAGAATACTTTTGTATTTCAGTCAGTTGAAAACCTTACCATGCAAATTTTCTGTACTGCAGTTAAGTCCTGATGCATGGAGGGACTTTATGTCCTCTTGGATGACAAAGAGTTTCCACTGCTGTTTCTCAGAAGCGTTTTACCTCTCTAAAGGCTATTTTCAGAAAGATTTGTTTGTTCTCACAGGACATTTCTGTCAGAGCAGTTAAAATATGCTTAAATTACCATGCATAAACTTCATTATAAAGCTTGCTAAAAGCACAGTTTGAAGTCCTGCTTGCTGCTGGTGACTACAAATTTCTATCTGGCTGGAAAAGTCAGCTACTTCAAGTCCAGCAACATTTCCATGACAACATTGTACTAAAAAACCTCATTTTAACACGTCAAAAAAATTAAAAGGCGTTTCTTGTGTTTTTCATTCTATTTCTTACTATGCAGTTTACTGATCTCTACATAAAGGATTTCTAAGAAGCTAATTACCAGGTTGAGTAAAGCCCTGAGGCAAAGCCTGAAGTCTTCTCCTTTGGCTACTGTAACTAATAAACTACAAATCCTTATCTCCTCTACAGCACTGTTCCCTAACTAGTGTTAGATTCACCCTTGCTGAGAAGCAAGCATGATCATCCTCATTTCACAGACCTAAAAAACTGAAGCACTGAAAGGCATAAACATGACTAAAATAGTTAAAAGGTAGAAGACACTTAGAGTGTCAGTAATTGCCATGTGTCCTGTGAACTAGTATCAACAACATCCCTCATATGACGTAGTAAAACAATGACCATAGAACTGTACAAACTGCTTGCATAATCTGTAGTAAAATATAGTCTCTTGTAAATTAACAGCTGTATAAAAGATTTACTTATCACACTGAGCATTCACCTGGCTCCTCTGCACTGCATTGTTTTCATTTTCCCTCCTTTTTTCTAGCAGGCTATTTCTGCAACTAATGCACTGAGACAGGTGCTTGGCTGTCTAAGGGTTTCCTACAATCATGCAAATTTGGCCTATGACTTCCAGTGCAGCTTGAACCAAAGCCCAATGGCTAAACTTCAAGTCTCAAAATAATATTGCCTTCAAACCATATGCATTTTTCAAATATCATATATTTCCTTGCAGCTACAGCTACTGGCATTCATTTAATTGCAGTTCAGAGAGGGCTGTGATTTGTCAGCCATAGAGACATGGTAACACATGGTGGTCACCCTCTTCTTCCTGGGGTATAGAAGCCATCCTTTGATGGCTTTACTATCCCAGCCCTTGCAGAAATTCTTTCTCAGAAGTTTCAAAGCATGGAGAAAGGATGGGCAGAATGAAAGCTCTAAGGTTCAGGTTTATCTTGAGGTAAATCTGATGAGATACACCCATGTGTCCTGAGGGAACTGGCAGAGAAAGTGGCTAAGTCACTATTTGAGAAGTCCAGTGAAGATCTTACTGACAGGAAAAGGGGAACTATAACCCCCATTTTTAAAAAGTGAAATAAGGAAGATCTGGGGAACTACTGGCAAATCAGTCTCATCTTGGTGCCTAGCAAGGTCATGGAGCAGATCCTCCTGGAAACTATGCTGAGGCACATCAAGGACAGGAAGGTGATTGGTGACAGACAACATGGCTTCACTACGGGCAAATTGTGCCTGACAAATCCGGTGGCCTTCTATGAG